ATTTAAAATGTAGTCACTGCCCTCTTTCTATATTGTATGAAGAAACTGGAACCTAAAATGAAAAGATCTCTGGCTCATAGAAAGGTTTCCATGGCATGCATTGAAGCTTTCCCAAAACCTAGGCCTGAAGAAAACAAAGTCGGTGGTGCACAGAAACTTAGAAGAAGCATCTAGAAGAGCTGAGGGTGCATAAGATTCTTAGTGTAATGCACTAATTGTAATTCAAGGGTATCCAGTAAGTTTTCTCTGATTTCTGTTTATGGACATAATGATAAAAGAAATGTAGTGGAGTCATTTTTAAGGCTAAGAAACAATCTAATAACTGTGTCTTTTCTTCATATGTGAAGATGACTCAACTGATCCACTTAAAAGAATGTGTATTTTGGGATGTTTTAGGCAGTCTTTGTTTTGAAACATTCCCTCACTTGCCCATTTACTTTCTCTCCAGATCATTCTCTCGTTAACCAGTTGGCAGAAGGTTTTATTTCCAATCATGGCTCCAACTCACAATTTTGGACTCCTCAACATGGTGTTAAAACAGACCCAGACAGCATAATTAAGGGTCTGAGTTTAAACCCAAGGTTAAGTTAGCCCCAAGCTACACTATCTGCTTATTTCATTTTACAGGACATAAAGAGCCAAGAACTCTCACATATCATGCTCTTGGTGGTTTTCCCTCCAGCCCCTAAAAGCCTGCTGATAGCCTGCTAATGAGGTCCCCATATCTCCCTTCTGCCTCCTTCCTCTTTGGTGGAACTGATGCTTCTGTGGTCAAAGTTCTTGGGCTATGGAAAATGGGGTATGAGAAAAGAAAAGAACAAATTTGGAATTCTTGGCCTCTCTATCTCTTAATAAGATTCTTTGAGTTTGTGCTAAAATTCATGTTAAAAATTAATTTCTTTTTTAAGTTAGCATTTGCTTGGTATTTCTTTTTCAGTTTTGTTAGTTTCAAACTTGCCCATGTTTAAATCACTCCTTGTAAAATGGTATATGCTGGCCGGCCGGTGGCGCACTGCTACAGTGCGCCGCTTGGGAGCGCGGCGGCGCTCCCGCCGAGGGTTCGGATCCCACATACAGACCGGTTCCTGCTCACTGGCTGGGCGAGGTGTGGGCACAACACCGAGGGTTGCGATCCCGTTGCCGGTCCCGGTCCAGTATGGGCGCGACACTGAGGGTTGCGATCCGTTGCCGGACACGAAAAAAAAGACAAAAAGGAAAAAAAAAAAAGAAAGAAAAGAAAAGATAAAGGCTATTTATTCCTTCATTCGCTCAACACCTAATAAATGCAACTAAGTGCAAGCTAGGGTAGGCCTTGCAATCTTGGAGGCCAGTTTAAGGCACTAAAACCCATAGCCACTTGAGATCTGTGTTAATGACACCACTGCTATCTTCAGGGAATGATACAGGGGCATCTGGACTGAAGGTTCTAAGGAAGTTCATCATTGAAGCTGCTTCTCTTAGGCTGGAAATATGGATCCATGTCCCATGGTAAGGGTGCTTCAACAAGAATGCAGTTAGTGGTTATGACAGAATGAGCACTGTCTTAGCAGGCTTTTTCAGAAAGCCCAGCACAGTTATTCAGCAGCCACAATGTGTGGCATTTGTTTCCTGCTTCCAGTTGCAAGAATAGTGTCCACTTTGATCTCTAATGCCTGCAAGGGCTTTACTACCCTATGAATATACTCTTTATGTAGAACTATTGAGAGGCCTCTGGAATAAAAAAAGCACACATAACTAATTAATATGCAGATAAATGCTATTTGATGACAATCTTGGACTGCAAAAGATGAGTGGCCAAACATTTATTGAACACCTACTACAAGCAAGGTACTGTATTAGGTTTCTACAAAGCCCTACAGCATCTGCCACCCTTCTTGCTCTATTACCTGTCAGACTTCATTGACTGCTGTCCTCCTGCCTACTATACTGTTCTAGCTACACTGGCCTCCCTGTTCCTCAAACCTGCCAGGCATGCTCCCAACGTAGGGCCTTTGTATAGCTGTTCCCACTGGCTGGCACTTTCTTCCCCTGGTTATACTCATGGCTAACTCCTTCACTTTCAAGTCTTTGCTTAAATGTAATCTTCTCAATGAAACCTACTTTGACCACCCTCTTTAAAATTATGGTCTTTCCAACCCCACTTCCCTATGCATTTTACCCTATTTTATTCTTTTTTCCTTTCCCACTACACATATTATCTGATAACACACTGTATAGTTTATTTATGTGTTGCCTGTTTCCTCACTGTAATGTGAATTCCACGATGGGAAGGATTTTTTTTTTTTTTTTTGGTCTGTTTTGTTCATTGATTATCTCAAGTGCTTAGGACAGTTCCTGCACATACTTGGTGCTCAATAAATATTTGTTGAATGAATGAATAAATGAATGGAATCAGACATCTAATGCTCACCTTCTAGTAGGGCTACACTAAAACTATCCAACACAAAAAATGGATTTTGTCATCTTGTTCCAAAACTCACCAGGACCCAGACTGCAGACATCTTTTATTGAGCAAATTCCAGGTTACCGTCACCCTCTCCTTAAATGTAATATTCAATTTATTTCTGGTAATATTTAAATAAAGTAAACATGCCAATGACCAATGACTGAAGAAGACTATTTCTATATATTCCTCACCCATTTCTTAAAGGTTATTGTGACCTTTTTGCTTTGATTGGTTCCACTCCTTTTCTCCTACATGTGGGTCTGTCCCCATCTCCCATCTTTTCATTCTCCACTCTCTGCCTTGGTGATCTCATCCACTACCACAGTTTCATCCGTTCACTCTATGGAGGTGAGTCCCAAATCTATATCACTTGAGTTCTAATCTCTTCTCCAAGCGTCCATCCTGGATTTTCTGGACTTACTTGGATAATTCCATTTGAATGTCTCATTGGTACCTAAAAGTAAACAGGTTTAAAACTAAACTCTTCGCCTTCCCCCTGAGACTGGCTTCTCCTGACTTTCTACTTCCATTTGGACAATCACTGCCCTCCCAGTCCCTAGGCTGAAATCCTGGCACTCTCTTTGACTCATCTCCCTAAATGGGACCCATCCTCACCTTTGGACCTAATTTAGTCAGTTGCCAAATCCTTCATTCTCTTTTGAATCTGTTCTCATTCTTTCCACTACTATTATCTCATATCAGACTCCTAACTGGGCTCCGATATCTAAGCCATTTTAGACAATTAAGATAATTAATTTTCCTAAAGTGCAATTCTGATTCTGTCATTCTCTTGCTCAGAAGCCTTCAATAGCTCCCTATTACCTACTTAATAAAGTACAAATTCCTTACCCTGGTATTCAAAACCCTCCAAACAAGAAGGTTCCTAACTTTCTCTGTCAATCTTATGTTCCACTATTTCCCAATATGAGCCCTGTCCTAGAATCAAACCCACGTGTTCAATTCTATATATACAATTAAATTTATTGTCTCTGTGCCTTTGCCTGTATTTTTCCCACTACTAGAATTCTCCCTAACCCTTCTGTGAAAAAGAAAAAGTAACATGTCAATGGTAAAAAGTTCATTTCCTTTCCTACTAAGTTCCACTTCTATTAAGTTTCTTGTAATTACAGGGATGCTCTAACTTTTTCAGGCATGCACATAAACACACATACGTTTATAATCATATGTAATAAAATGATTACACATAGGCTTTTTTGCAACTTGCCATTTTTCAATTAATAATAAAATGTGCAGTTTTCTACTCTGGCACATATAGATTAACGACATTCTTTGTAAAAGTTGCATAGTGTCCTGTTGAATGGAGACACCATAATTTATGTAAAAAGTTCCATATTGATGAACATGTAATTTTCAGGGTTTTTTTTTTAAGTAGTGCTGCAGTAAACATCCTTGTAACTTTTCTTTGCATACTTGCAAAGATCTGTAAGAGTGGCATTAGTGGGCCAGAGATTATGTGCATTTTACATTTTAGTAACTGCCAAATTGTCCTCCTAAAAGTTTGCACCAATTATAGTCTTACAATAATGAGTTTGAGCACCGATTTTTCCAAATCTTGACCAACCTAAGGCTGCTAAGCTTTTTCATCTTTGCCAATTTGATATATATTTTAATTGTTTTATTTACTTTTACCCATCCCCTCTCCATTTTTTACCTTGTTGGTAATCTACATATCCTCTAAATCCCAGATTAAAAGTCCACTCCCTTCACAGGTCCTCTTATCAAATTTCTCCCTTCTCTAGGCATCTATAGCTTTTCATTTATGTAGTTCTCATACTGCTTTGAATTTTAGTGACTGGTCTATGTTTTATTCCTCCCACTATTGTAGATTGCAAATTCCTTGGAAGTAAGGACCTGACTTTACAGAAACGTTGAATGTAGAGCTAAGCAAATATTTTGGAGGGCATACTAACCAAGCTTCTCATTTTTGTAAAAGGAGTATTAAACATTCGGAGAATGCATTACAGTTCATAAAGTCTTTTCCCAGACATTCAATTAGACATTAAGCTTGTAAGGGAAACATCGGTATCCCGTTGTTTTACAGGTGAGAAAACTAAACTCCAGGCGATTTACTAACTGAGAACAATGATTTACTCGGAGCAGGCCCAAGACCAGAATCCAGCGTTCTGGCTCCATTCATTGTTCCTTTCCGTACATCCCAGCTGCCTCTCGTTTCCCTCACAGCACTTTTTGCAATATTCGGTGAATGAAATTACTCAAAAAAATTGTCAGGTGTTGGCAGCAGCTTGAACATCTGTAATTAAATAAAGCAAACATGCTGACGACCGGGGATGCACAGCTCTACACGCACCTTTCGCCCTTCTTTCCCCGAGTAGTCGGCAGCTTTTACTCCCGCAACCAGCTCCCCCACCTGAGCAGGCAACGCCGGGTCCCCAGGGAAACAGGCTTCGAGCGGCCCCTTTAAGACTGCGGGCGGCGCGTGCCCACCGTCCTTTCAAATAGGCCAATAAAAGAGCGATGGGCGGTCCGTCGAGGGCCAATAAAGAACGAGGACACTGCGGGGTGTGCGGCGACCCAAGCGGTTTCAAACGGCTTGGAGAAGGCCCCTCGGTTCTGACCCGGCGGAGGTGAGTGGTCGGTGGGCCTGACCCACGGGCATAGGTCCTCGGATCCGGGCGTCGCGCGCGCCAAGGGGCTCCGAACCTCGGGCGGGAGCCTCCGGGTGCGCGCCTCCTCTGCCCCACGAACCCCGCAGGTCTGAGGCGGCGAAGCGGGGCGGCGGCCGGGGGGCCCGCGGCCG